TCTCTTCTCTCTCTTCTCTCGCAGGAGGATCCGGGCAAAGAGCCACATATAAAGGACTCTTCACCCCTGCCTCCAAAAAGAGCGCCGTGTTTTTTCCTACCTCGCTGCTCTCCACTTTCCCATTCTGGAGCGCTAGCTTTCGCCCCCCCCCTTGGCCTCAAGTCAATTATCTTGAATGTTCTCTCTACTGCAAAAAAATCACTGGATAGTCTTAATGGATGGTCCAGCAGAAACGATGTTGTTTCGGGTCCTGGGGAAGGCCGTAGACGGCGCCAGCTTCGGCATCGATTTTGACCGCAGGATTTCGGTTGCTATCACATTGTTGCCGGAGAACTGACTTTGATCACTGCCGACGAGATGCTGCAGAAGATGCAGAACATCCAAACAACATGTGTCCTGCCTGTGGGACGTAGGATTTGGTCAGATTGAAGGCATGCCATTGACTGCACCATGGAGAAGAGGTAAGACATGAGAATGAGCGCTGTTTTCCCATATTCTAGCAGTCACTGACAAACCGAAAAAGACTTGTATCAACATCCAAGTTCTAAAAGATCATGGAGCAAAACTTCGGCCCAATCTGCTCTAAGCGGGGCACCGGATCCATTGTCGTTACAGCCCAGAGAATGGAAGCATGAATGAGCCAGCATGCGAACTGAGCATTTCGAGTCGTTCTTTTTCACCGGTGTTTGGTCACACGGTGTGGAAAACCCTGAAACGCCCGCTTTTGGTCACACGGTGACGGTCTTTTGACGAATCGCCATCTCTTCTCCCCGTTGGCCACGCCCAGGTGGCTGTTGCTGTTGATGTGGCAGTACGTTGAGGTGCTCGGTTTCCCGAGCATGGCGGCTTCGCTGGCCGAAGAGGGGCCGGTGAAGGTGACAAGACAATTGACTGGAATGACCTAAGAGGGGGGTATGAGTGGATCATGGCCCCATCCCAACGACTGAAACTGAAACCAACTTTGTGTATTTGTTTGTTGAACTGCAAGTTACTTGCTGTGAGGCTGATAAGGTGGTTGGCTCACGACACCTACTGCATCATGACGACTGAAAACATGTGAGAATGGTGGCCATGGTGCTACACTCGTTTTGTGAAGCATGCCTTTCTCCACAATCTTCTATATAGATATCGGCCCCTGAAAGAATTGTCTCTACAAGCTGGTGGTTTTACGTTCCATGTTGCAGGTGACCACATTTGGGGAAGCTGTCTTGGGCAGTAATTTCATGAGCTGATTCCAATGTTGTGCTTCCGAGTGGTGCTGAGTGAAGTCTTGAGGGGACATGCCTCTGTAGAACGGTTTGACCATTCTACTCGGTTCTGGGGCCCATGCATCAGGCAAGATGGGAGGGCTCAAAACATCTACGTCAACTCACCATTCCGCCACGGGGATCTATTCACATCATCACATTAGATTATCAGCAACATCAGGCCATTGTTCAGGGGATGTGTCAAGTGTACTAGTGCAGACCAGTCAATGGATAAGCAGGATCAGGTCCGCTTCCGGAGGAAGCTTGTAGCCGGCGTCATTTGTTTTCAAGCGGCCCCAACGGAGAAGGCCCATGCAAAGGAGGAGTTGTTCAGAACATCACAGCCCTCACACATCAACATCATTTACCAAAAACAATGGCGCAAGCGAAGCGGCACACACACCCAATCGGGAATGCCGCGTTAGCCGTCCAAGACATGGCGAGATTGGGGATGGCCGTGGCGTTGTTGCCTTTCTGGCGGATTTCCCCGCTATGTACGATTATGTTTAATTTATATATAGTAATGTTTAATTTAAGCATAATGTTTAATTTAAGCATGCATTAAAAACACACAGGTTATATCCTTTCATGGTGCATGATGGGCCATCGATGAGCTGGGTCTTCTCCTCAGTTTCCCGGGTCAGTTGTTTTTGAACGGCTGTTGATGGACCGAGATGAGACTGCCTCCATCTTCCAGACGTTACCATCTAGACATATTTAGACCGAGAGGCTGATCTGCAGCCCGTGCGAACGGAAGGGGAGGGACCGTCTGTCGCGAATTCAAGCGTGGACTGGAGAATCCTTGGTGTTCACAATGCCGCCAGACATGGGTCGTGGGTCTTCTGACCCCACGCAGAGTCAGATTCGTGCTGATTGTGCAATTTTGGATGATCCATGATGATCTCATGTCCCACCCATTCAGCCAATGGGTCCAGATAGGGTTGCTTTTGTAATACATCATTACGACGACCACATGACAAACGGTGGCATGCGGCACGGGCCACTGGCCAGCTCTGATGCGGACATGTCCGAAAGGGAGAAGAACTTGGCACATGTAGGCGGTGTCCATCAGTAACAGCCAATAAAGGATTATCATTATGTTTGACTTTTTGAGAACCGCCTCTACATGCCTTGGCTAACCATTGTCATCCAGTGGACCACTGGGAGAGGGAACATGCTTGAAACACAAGGCTGGTTTGGTTTGGAGCCACCGTCAGTGTGTTTGCAAAGGCCACCGTCCACCATGACCAAAGTGTGACACCATGACCATCCAATGTCACTTCTGTCGCTCTTGGTGCAGGAGATGAAGCTCTTGGGATCCTTGGACATGAGTTTCACCGCCAGCTTCTCGAACTGAGCCCGGCCAGATCTGGTGCGGGAGTTTTCTCCGGAAACACTCTGGGGGTGAGAGAAGAGGAGACTAAACCACCTGAGGAGGACAGGACTTTTGTCTTACCTAATAGCGATGGCCGCCAACCTGGCAATAGTTGAGTGGTCAAACTAAACCGCTAGGCCCCTCAGGCCCAGCCGTGCCTGTGATTTTGGGGCGTTTGGGGTGGATGCTTCCAGATGAAGCTGGCGCAGGTGTTCTTTCCGGAGAATGGGGGGAGAGATTCAGATGGGTCCTTCTCAATGTGCTGTGCATATTTAAGTGGTAATGTACTGTACCCGTAAGTAGCAGTAGGATGGTTTTACGAAAGCCAGCCGATAGGCTAGGCTGAAGTTAGTGCTGCGAACGAAGTTCGTCTGCTGGTGTTTTTACTTTCCCAAAAAGGTGGTTGTTGCTGGCTTGGTGATGCAAAAGATGCAAGGTGATGTATTGCATCACTTGCATCATTACTACCCGAGAGTAGTACACATGGCTAGCCCAGTGTATAACACGGCTGAAAGAGTTAATTACAGTTATAAAACATGCCTGACTAGCCCTATGGCAATACCTTGTCTTGACATTTTCACATATGTATGCATGCATGCCTGGTAATAGCCCATCTTTGGGTTGGATCACCTAAGCAAAACAGATCTTTGCACCCACTCCCACCTGCATCATCTATCGCCTTCTCCACTTGGAGTGGTTCATACGTTCCGCCCCGGTGATATATACCACGAAAAAATATCCCTGTAGCAACTTCCTCTATAAATTCTGAGCACCTAGGTGCTTGGATAGCTACTGGAGGTTGGGCTTCAATTTGATAGAGATGTTGGGGGCTCTATTTCTATAGAGATTGTAAGTCTAGAATTTCTTGAGAAATGGGCGTTAGGTGTTCAATTCTATAGAGAGCTAAGTATAGATATTTTAAGGTTGGGTGTTCTGATTCTATAGAGAGTCATGTTGTGAATGGTTGTGTCGTTTGTCGCTTGGGTGCCTGGATTCTATGGAGAGTCACATTTTCATGATGTTTGCATATTCAGAGATACAGAAATAATTGGATGCCCTTAACTTATTATTCAGGGGTGCACGTAAGAGTCAGGAATACTGTTCTAGGAATAATGTTGTCGAATGCTCATCAGGAATAATTTGCTTGGTCCCTGTGCCAGGGGAGTGGGGGTCACCTAGGAACAATAGTTACCACTAACCTCGATACTAAGGAATAGTTTGAAAAGGAGACAGGCCAGTCTTAGGGAATGGCCGAGATACTGGCTTTGCTCTCTTTCCCTGTGCTCTAAGAGCCACCAAGTTTCACCAAGGTGACCAAGGTGGAAGTTTATGGACATCCAGCGGTTGGGATGGCTTGTGAGGAAAACACTCTAGGATTTGTGGTTTTGACAACTACTGGTCAATTCTATGACGGTTGTTTTTTGGGTGCAGGGGAGGGTCACTCAGGGTGATTCTAGGCTTGCAGAAACTGGCAGGCCAATCAAGACTCACCAATTGAACCTTTATAGAATTGAATATTTAGTTGGAAACCCATTGTTCCTTATAGAATTGAAGCAGCTAGGGCCTAGGGCCTATAGAAACAGGGAACCCAAGATACCGAAGATTTTCAGGCCTGGTTTTTTGTGGTGGTGGTTCTTTAATTATATAGAGTGAGCATGTCACCTCACCTCTTTGCAATGCCAGGAGCCCCATTTCTATAGAGTTGTTATCTTGTATACAGAGGTGCTAGTTGTGAGCGCCCCTTCTTAGCTCTTTTGTTTCTTGCTGTGCTTAGTTTTGTCATAGCAAACTTTTGGAGTCTGCCAGTCATGAGAAAAGATGGCCCTAGCTGCTTCAATTCTATAAGGAACAATGGGTTTCAATTGGTGAGTCTTGATTGGCCTGCCAGTTTCTGCAAGCCTAGAATCACCCTGAGTGACCCGCCCTGCACCCAAAAACAGCCTTCATAGAATTGACCAGTAGTTGTCAAAACCACAAATCCTAGAGTGTTTTCCTCATGAGCCGGTTCACAAGCCATCCCAACCGCTGGATTTTCAGTCTCTGACCTGTTCATCGGTATCTTGGGTTCCCCGTTTCTATAGCAAAGCAGGCCAAGAGTGAGACAGGTTTAAACTTGCTTATCCTGGATTCTATAGAGGTGCACATGAATGAACCTCATGAGATCTGGTTCGAAAGAGGGCCCTCCCTACAAGGAGGGTGCCCCATTTCATGTTTATATTCAGTATTGGGGACCATGAGATACCGGCTTAATTCCAAAGAGTATAAAAATGTAAGTTACCGGGGCGGCAGACAGACCACGAAAGTGAACAGCATGGCCGTTCGTCGCCCCGGTCACCTGGGCGGGACTTGTGGCCGCTGGCAACGGACAGCGGCCCAAATACTAGCGTAGAGAAATGTACCTGTCACCCTCTGTTGTCGTGGCTACTGCTGGTCTGAGTCTTCATCTATTACTGAAGAAGACCGGCTCCATGTCGAGCGCGGGGCACCTCCAAGGACCCCCTAACCTTTCCTAACTAACGCGTCTCCGTCACTTGCGTGTTCCTCCAATGAACCAACAACAAAAGCCAAATACCGGCAGCACTGGGGGCAGCAGTCCAAATAGGAAACTCAAAACGAAGACACCATATCACCAAAGCACTGAAGGTTGTCCGACCAGGAAGAGTTGCAGTAGCTGACCCTGGCGGGGGGGAACTATGTACCTTTATGCTATGTATATGTTATCTGTATATATATATATATCTATTATACAGCTGACCCAGCCTTCAGCCATCTCCTTGCAACCATCGCCGGGCACGGAAAAACTCCCCTGCGTGTTTGTCCTGGCTTTCGTTTCCCCCCTTCTGAGGTTGTCTATCACTACTAGGAGTGAAACAGGATTTTGAGATGTTTCGCCTACAGATTTTAGAAGAAGGTACACTAGGCAGCTGACTACAGCGTTTGGCATGTGCCACAGCATTCAGCTGCGAGGTTGGATCCAAGGCCCCATTCATGTACAATACTCGAGCGCATCTTATAATGAATGTGTTTTTTTTCGCTTGGATGTGCGGGTCTATGTACTATTCCCCAACGATCCACAGGACTGATTTTTTCCTACGGCGACAATGACCCTTAAAACATCTTGAAAGCACTCCAAGGATCCCCAAGGTAAGTCATTAAAGCTTTAATACATGGATTGTATGGGATTGTATTCTACAGATCTATCCACATATGCGTATGTATACATTGGGTCATTGGGTTTGTCCCATTTCCTGTTTAACATTCGGTGAACAAGTATCACGATTTTTGAAAAAGGCCTTTACCAACCACCATCCACTGCTACTGGTAACAGGCTATGCCCAATCAAATATTTCGATTATTTTTATATATTTACACATCTACTGATAACTAATGTACTCACCTCTCTCTCTCTACTCTTTGATTTTTTTTGAGGTGTTCTACTGTCGACGACTAGTTGTGCCAAGTGAACATCTTGTTTTTTTGATGGAGCGTCCACCTAGAAAGGTGAAGAGGCCAGCCTGCTCACATTTGCTCACTCGCACTTTGCTGAATACAAAGACCCAACTCTGCTGATGCTGGCGGTCAAACGTCTAAACGGGGGAAACCCCATTAAAATCATCATCCACCCTTGAGTCATATACAGTCATGGCGCAATCCCCAAAAGGTGAATATATGGACCCCCATTTAAAGGCCATCTAGACTGAAAACACTGTAGGTCCTGCAATCATTCCTTTTCACCGCACCATGTTTCCACCGGTGCTGGAGCATCCGAGGCTCTGGCAGTGCAGCCCTGGCCATGCCCTGGGCAGAGGCATTCGGAGAGGTCTCAGAGGTGCGGCCTCGGATTTTCAAGGGACTCCATGGATGGAGATGTCCCATGACATGGGTCCCTTGCTTCGGGGCGTCTCGCTGGGTGACCGGAAGAAGGACCCACGACATCCGGCTTCAGCTCCGGCACCGAACAACGGCACGTTTCAGAAGTTGAAGGGCTGGTGACATGCGCCAGCTGTGTGGAACACTGTGTTGGAGGAATGTTTTCATGCCCCCCATCATGCCCCCATCATCTTCAGCCAAAGGTTAATTAGGTGGTTATATAATAGATGAGCTAGATGTGCATACATGTGCTGTGTGCACAAGACCTGAAGCTCCGAATCGCTCCGAACCCTTCTAGGTTGACTTGGTTGATCATTTATTCTGTGGTTTTTCGGTGGTCCATGGTCTCCCTTGCGACTCCTGCAAATTCCAAATTGGCCGAAGACGCTCGCAGGTGAGTGATGGAGATGTAGGGGAGGAAGTGCGCCGGCGGCGAAGGCGAAGGCGGCGGAAAGGAAAGGGGCCCCTGGGCCACAAATGAGAAGGCTGTGTTGTGGAGGAGGCCATGAAAAAACAGATCAAATCACGCTGCGATGTTTGTCCGAAGAACTGGATCTTTTGTGGAGCGTCCTTCGGACCGACGTTCGCAAAACGGACAAACGGAGCCAACTCTCCAAACATTGTCGATGGCGCTGCTGCTCGAACAGGGCGGAAGTGCCCCAGATTTGTCATGTCAAGGATCGCCCCAAGCAGCCTGAAGAGGACAAGGCTCACCTCCCAAGGGCGGAAAATTGCTAAAAGGAACTCTCAAGGGTGTCCCAGCAGTCTCCTCCTCCTCCTCCTCATCATCATCATCATCATCAGTTCTCATTTAAAACACTCTTGTTGAGATCATACTGTTGAGGGAAGACACACGCCCCTGACCGCATCCAGCGAATGGTGTCAGCTTGCCAAGGCCAGGTAAGGGAGCGAAGGGCAAGGCGACAGCGAAGGGTGCAGCTCCGGCTGGCGGCTCTGCTCAGCGTGCAGCCCAGGCGCTTTTCAACTTGACGTAGGGAGCACGTACGTGCGCGGGCTCGACGACTGCATTGGATGAGATGCACGGTGCAAAGTGATCCAAAGTCTGACAGAAAGTCAGGGAAGCCATGGGAAGCTGCAAACCAGACTCCAGAAGTGCCACTGCCCGAGACAGCCTGCTGTCTCCAGCGGCCGCCACAGAGCGTAGAAGAGATGTATAGGGTGGAGCTTCCGGAGGGCGTGCTCATCATCGTGGTCCATCCGACGGAGGGCATCGGCTAAGGCAAAAGCCCGGAAAAGTGGCGATCGCTTTTGCGTTTGGATACCCATCATTGTGTCCAGCCCCTTACGTTTGATATTGTTTGATATGTTTGGGCCCACTCTCAGCATCTCTACTTCAGAGTGTTCCAAGACTCAAGACCTGTCCAAGACTGAAGGACATGTCAACATTGGTAGGCAGTTACACGCAAAATAAGTTAAAGCTTCAAGATTTGTACATGCTGCAGATATAAATATATATATATTATATATATATTATATATATATACTTGGCTATGCACATGTTGTTTGGGTTTGTCCTAATACCTGTAGCAGTCAACATATTGTATATTTGTAAGTGTGTTGCTTTAGTAGTCTATCCTAGAAACGGCACAGAGAGAGAGAGAGAGGGGGATCTCTACTGGGCCTACTTATATGCCCAGCGAGCTCCTCACCCCGCTCTTCGTTTTCTGCCGAGTTCGGCCGTTCCTGGCCCAAGCAAAATGCGTGTAGAACCCCTTGGCCCAATTGATTTAAGTTGATGCTTCCCTTGATGTGGGGGTCCGATTCGCTTCTCTCCCTACGTTCATCGACGCCCATATTTGGGGTTCGAAGTATTCATTATAAAGTTGTCCGTTTGAGACCCTTATCGACTCTTATCGACTACCAACAATGAAAATTAATCAACACTCACAAGCACGCATGAAACTGCGTCGAAAAAGCTTGGACGAGCGGACTTGGCGTCGAAACAGCTTGGGAGCCCGGCACCGCCCGGACGTCCCGGCGCCTTTGGCTCGAGGGAGATGCTCAACTTGAGTCACTCCAAATTGATCGCATTTACAATAATGTGGTCCGATGGAAGGGCCACTTCCATCAAGTCAAGTAAGAAGATCAAGTAAGAAGATCCGAACCGCAGAATCTAAGGGAAGGAAAGGAGTGGAAAAGGATGATTTACAACCTCATATGTTGACTCCCTATCATTGTCAGCGGTGCTTTAGCCATTTTGGGCATTTGCTTCTGGGGGGTGCCTTCCCCAGCAAAAGCGATTTGCTGGAGAAAGGCATTTAGTTTCTTGTTTCCAACCATCAAGCAGCCTGACGGCCGCTCTTCAGCCCATGCCACGGGCCAGGTCGGCCCGTCCGGAGGTCGAGGTGAGTGGTTCCAGGCACTAAGATGAGATCAGGACATCAATTCGTGGAGAGTTTCCACCGTGTTTCTTTGTTTATTTCTTGTGTGTTGTTTCTATATCAGTGCGGAAGACGTAATTATCCAGATCTAGTCACTAGTTTATTCTCAATGTATGCCGTGCCGTGATGTAGATGCCGCCGTGGTGCAGCTGAAGTTGTTTATCAACAGTTGGCTGATCATCCAGGTACCCTTCCCGATGTCATCCAATGTCAATGTCATTACTGATGGCCCACTACTGTCGGAAGAAATCCTGCACCACCCGAGATACAGATAACCACACGATTAACAGAATAGTGGTTTCGTGGCCGTCGTGCTTGGAAGTCGGAAGTGCCTTGGTACATATTACTTCCATCAACTTGAGATGGGGGGATGAGGGAAAACCGTAAACCATCATATTACTTGGCACTTCATCATCCTCATATTACTTGGATGTGCTTGGGTCAGGTGGAGATCCTTTACTTTGAGCATTTTTGAGCTGTGAGATTGAACGGCCCGGCCCCCAACCACTACCACCCTTCAAGGTGCATCGACAAGGTCGGTTTTTTCCGCTCTTCCACCAACTGGGCCAATTGGACCCTGAGAGGAGAAGCTGAGGTGCCGAGCCTAGACACCTGGTTCTACTGGACAACTAATGTTGGCTCTATCTCTAGGGAGGGTTTTATGACCGAAGATGCATCAAGAGTCTACATTACACCCATTTCTGAACTCTTCTAGACCGCCTTGGTTCGCTGACAGGTGCTTCTTGCCACCTTTGTTCGCTGCTGCGTGGGCCAGGCGTTGAGATGTCGAGCTGGGTACGTGAGGTGGGGTTCCACCAGAAGAACCCCAAGTTGCAATGCTATGCAACTTGCAGTGACGGTGTTTCCTAATCTTGAACTTGAACCACCTTAGTTTGACCCTTGATATTGTAGCCTTTCTCAGGCAAAGCTGTGTCAGATTGCGAAGGTCCTCACCCAGCCCCAAATCCTCACCATGATGCCCAAAAAGCCTTGGTCAAAGGCCCGTGCGATCTCCCATGCCGTGAGGAGTGATGGCCGCGTCTCCTCCAACGCGGCTTCGCGGCTTTGGAGACCCAAACTGCGGCGCTTCGGTGCGACCCGAAGCGAGGCCGGCGGGATCGGAGGTGGTTCCAACGTGGCGACGACGGGAAGCGGAGTCAAACATGGCGACCAGAAAGCATTCAATTTCTCTCATGGACGAGCGACAAAAAGAGAGAAGTTGCAGGCCGTGGGAGGCGGTGGGGACCTCATGAACGACCCCGTGGAGGAAGACAAATGCAGATGTGTTGATCATATATCTATATATATATAGTTATATATGTTTGGTTTGAACGGCTCAGGCCCACAAGAGAAAAAGATAAATTGATAGCCATACCGCCGTGGCCAAAGCAAACAGCCAAGAACTTTCTGCACATGATAATTAAATAAATGTTGTTGGTTTTTTGGATGTAATTCTCAAATGCAAACAGCAAGACATCAACCACCCAAGAGGTTGCTAGCCGCTCTTGCCATGGCGCCGCGTCCCCGCGAAGCCCCGCCATTGCCTGCACCTCGTCCCGGCGAAGCGCCGCCGGAGGAGAAGAGAGGCGTCTCCGTGTCGTCATTACCTTCATCCATTGACCAGGAACTCCTCAGAGCCGTTCCAATGCACTTGGTTTTGGCAGGCTGTGGACAGCAATGGGTGAATCGGGCGAGGGATGAATACCACCTCAGCCAGCGGGTGAATGAGATCGATACATTTTTGAGTCACGACTGGGGGACGAAGCGTTGGCTGAAATACGCTACATTGCTGGTTTATTTCAATAGTGTACCGGCCGCCTTGGCAAGTTTGCTGATGTGCATGCTGGTTTGCGTCCTCATCATATTCAGAGTATTAGATGGATGGCTTCCTGGCACACTCACCATCCATGGTGCTTACTGGTTTGTGTTTGTGTTTTGGCAGAACATTCGAAGCCTCTACAAAAAGAATATGGCTTTTCTCGACCGACTTTGCATTGCGCAGCACGATGTGGATCTGAAAAAGCAAGGGATCCTTTCATTGGGTGGAGTTCTTTCCAAATCTCGAAAGCTTGTGGTTCTGTGGAGTCCACGATATTTCACACGTTTGTGGACAGCCTTCGAATTGTCGTCCTTTTTGAGGGAAAATGAAGGCAAAGGGAAAGACATCAACTTTGCTCCAGCAAGCATGGGTCCGCTGCTTGTGTACTTTTCAGTGTTTGAAACGCTGCTTGTCACCAGCTTCCACATTCTTGTAGCTCGATATGTGGAGTCGGTGCTGCAACAAGAGAATACATATTTGAGCAGCTTGTGGCATTTCACAGCTACAATGCTCGTGATTTGTGCGCCGGCATTTTTGGTGATTGCACCCATCGTCCTTTACCTTGGCACAATGCAGATGAAAGCTTTGCTGCAGCTGGGAAAACAGCTGGATGATTTCAAGATTCGAGATGCTCAGTGCAGCTGTTGTCAGTGGAACCATTGCCATCCTGAAACTGGCGAAATACTCTTATGCGACCGGATGCTGGTTTTCCAAACATTGAAACGATGGTATCCCAGCGAGACTTCTTCCGATGCTCATTTGGACCGATTTGATGAGATGGTTCACACTGAGCTGGGTGGCTTTGTCCGGAATATCCTAGGCAATGGTGCTCCACCATTGTGGCAGGTGCTGGCGCTCACCGTGCATCCCTTGCTTGGTTTCTGGTGTTTGTACGTCTACCTGGCTGTGAATGAGCACCTATTCCCCTAGTCGGCCCTTGGCTGGATGATCGGCTGGTTTCAGGCCCCGCCCATGGTGTACCTCGCGTTCTGGCAATTTCTGCAGACTTGGAGGATGGGCGCACGCTTGGCCGATCGGTGCCCGCTGTGGCTGATCTTGTTCCTCGGAGCAGCGGCCGGCATCAGTTTCAATGTTGCGGTTTGGTTGCAGTACAATTTGTTAAAATATACTTTCGGACATGATTTCAATTGGCCTGTCTTTGGCTCCCTCGTGTTCATGTGGGTCGTTTTCATAATTCCATACATTTGGGAATATTCTCCCAATCTGTGCAGAAAAGTCACAGGTATGAGAGGTTGAAATTCCGCTCTCTTGCGAGGTTCGTAGAAAGTAGAGTAGAGGCTGCTAGCGTGTTGCTAGCTCTCATTGCGAGCTGCTACCTCAACGGTGAATTGATCTTCCGTTGAAAAGTGCTTCAAACATGCACAACTGTTGGGAGACCGTCTCACCTCGTTTCACAGAATTCGAAGTTGTTCTTGTCCAAAGACAGAAGCCGGAACCAAAACGGGGAGTTTCTCGGTCCGGTACTGCTTGGGATTTGGAGTTTGCCTGGTCGGGCCAAGCATGGGATCCCCGGAGGTCGAGGAACGGCTTTCTACTCGCTTTCGGCCCGGTGCCACAGTGCGCCAACGGGGTCGATGTTCACGATCCATGCGGCTTCATCGCTTGCTTCCCCACAAAAGGGGAAGACACGGAAGACTTTGAGATACGGTAGATCTGCAACCAGTGTGGCAGCCAAACAAAAAAGATCAAAAGAATAAGATAAAACGACGCATGGTGATGCATGTTCAACAGCATGAAACATCCATCCAACACTTAAGGACTTGATAGGGCATTAGGATGCTCATAGGTCCATAGATATCTTCTACCCTGGACCCTCATCCTCTTTAGGGGTTTGTAGGATTGGAGGGGCCGGCCAGGCCCAATTCACGGAGCGTTTGGGTCAAGGTTTGAGATCGTCTCCATCGCCGCTCCCTTCACGTCTTGTGAGGAATGAGATGGAGCACCTCACACAGAAGCACCAGGCCCAGTGAGACTGGACCGAGAAGGATCGGGTTGAAGACTGGGATCCTGGAAGGCTGAATCTTCTGCTGGTTTGGTCGTTGATGTGGCCGACGCGTTTCAGAAACGCCGGGACGCAGGGCCGGCATTCGCCACGTCCTCCGGCATTCGCCGCAATGCAGACATCCGCAGAATCCCTCGTCAGCACGTCGTCCGACGAGCAGGTGCAGTGGGAGCTGGAACTCGTGGAGCTTCATGATCGTGTCAAGGAGCTTGCAAAAGCTTGGGGGTTGGAAGACTGGATGATTGGTCCATGATTTCAATCTGCTGGGTGAAAGATGCAATATGTGCTATCAAAACATATCAAACATGGAGTATTGTGACATATTGTGACCTCAGGTTCAGCATGATTGGGTTTGGAGGAAGAGTGCTTTTGAGGCTTTGTTTGTCTACTTGGCCTGGTACAGTATCCCCACAGGATGTTTGCACCAAAAGCCCTTTGGCCGCCTTTGGCCCACTTTTCGGAGGCACCTGCGACTGCACGTCTAGGAGTTGGTTGACCTGGTGGATCAGCTGAAGAAGGATGAGGCACATCGAACCGCTGGCGCACCATGGGGCGAGCCGGTGACGGTCGCAGCCGAGGTGGCCAGGGACATCCCCTGGTGGGGTATGCTGGGGGTGTTCACTCAATCTACCTGAATGTGTGGGCCAAAAGATGCCTAACGAAGCTTCGTTCAAGCGCTGATGTTTGCGGAAAACAGTGGTTTGCGGACACATCTGCGGGTTTGATTGCCCAGAAGTGATGACCAATCAACCATGCACGGGCTAAGCGGCTTGGGTTTGAAAACCCTTTGTGGCTCCCCTATGGTCCATGGTCAGTCCAAGCGCTTCTGGGACATTTCAGGGTTCATGAGTTGGGGCTTCCAACTCATGTCATGTTGATAGGATTTTTGAGAATCTGATTTAAAGATAAATTAAAGATATTGATTTGATGTGTTTCATGACGTTGCACGAGCGGCAAGCTGACGAGAATTCCAAGAATTTCCCCTACGATCTTTGTTTCCGGTGGATGAGTCCACCTGGCAGCGTCATTCGGGGGACTCACGGGGCAGGTGGAGGCCCAGCTTCCAGCAGTGAGGCCACAAGAGCACCGCAAAAGACGCCGGGTGAAATGTTGGTGACACACTCAAGTCTCCTTTTTGGAGACGTCGGACGCTACTAGGTGGAGGCCATCGCAAGGAACAAGAAGCTACTAGCAAGGACGAAGCCCATGAAACAAGAATTGGAGAGAAGATCCAACGTGTCGTGTCGGAGATTCGAGATGAGAGAACACTTCACTTCAGCTGCACGTGCTGCGTGGCGGTCAAGGTCTCCATTGTCAGCCTCTTCAGAGCCCACATGTCGTCACACATGAGTGTTTCCATCAGCCTCTCTCGAGGCAGGCGTACCATGACTTCGCCCTGGCTTTAGATGTGGTCTCGCGAGGAGTCCCGAGCTTGAAAGTACTCGTCAGATGGCGGTGAAGGGGGAAAGCTTTACCTGGAAGCTTTACGAAAATGGTCACCTGGCAGGACTCCCAATTGTCACCTGACAGGATCTCCAGAGTGACCAAACCTATCATACCTGTCCTGGTAGGCAGAGATCGTTGCATCGGGAATGAGCTGAATGAGTATGTTTGAGGGCCGGATCAGGGCTGGTGGGGCGGACATTGACTGGCAGGGAATGCAAATTCCAAGGTTTCAAAAGACGGCATCGTTGGATCTGGGATGACTCCGGGCAGCAGACTTTGACACACGACTTTTTGTCGGGGTCATGTTTTGCATGAAGAAATCAGGTGTTCAGAGGACAGGAACTACAAGATCCAGAAGTGCATCCTGCAAGCGAAAGCAAGGGAACACATGAACTGGCCGCGTTCACGCTCGCTGAGGTTTTGGGGCAAAAGCCCCTGCGCACGACCGCTTCCTGGGCTCCACTGTTGCTCCGATTCAGGCACACCGTCGGCATGGTTTTCGAAGGTGTTTTGTTCAAGTCTCTGAGCCTACAAGTCGTCACTTCCCCAAAAGGAGCATTTGGGCAGCATTCTCTTGGATCCTCATTCCCCACAATAAATATCAATATACTGTAAATTGCATAATTACTAAATATGTTATGATAAGGGTTTGCTTTAAGAATCTTTATGCAAGTGCTCTGGCAAGACGACTCAAGCGGGATGGATGGTAAACAACACCCCCCATGTCTTTCCATCTAGGGCTTTCCTTGGACATCGCAAACGGAGCCTGGTCTTTGCCTGTGTTGGGTCTCGCTTCAGTCGGCCAGAATCTCCACGGCTTGTTTGGAAGGTGGGCATCATGTGTAGACCTCGGACATCTCCGGGCAGATGCTGTTGAGCACCTCTGGGGGGGTCGCTCACCTCATCACCTCAGCACTGAGAGACCCCTCACGGGACCGACCTTGCTCCCAGTGTCACGGACCGGCCGAATGGGAGCCACCGGTGAGGTACTACATTTGCAGCCTCTTCTCTTGGGGCCTTTTGACCGAAGAGGTGGCCCAAGAGGCGTGGCCCAATGGGGGGAGCCTGAGCCTTCAGGGTTGGACGAGTTAATCAGAAAATCCGAGGACCATCGCGGTGGAAACTGGGTGGAGTCACTCCTGAAGAATCATGGAACTGGATGGCACTACCTGGTATTCAGATGTATTCCGAAAATGGCCATTCCAGGACCCATCGGGACATGGCCGATCAGGACCCTCTCGGCACAGGTGCCAATCGTGGCGTCACATCTTCCGATGGTGCCGCCATGATGCTTCGGGACCGTTTCGCCCGTTCGACATGGAATGGCGCCAAGTCGCCACTTCGCCGGTGTCCCCAAGTCACCAGACCCGAAGCGGCCCCGTGGGTGGTTCCAAACCCTTCCAAGTCGTTCGTTCGTTCGGCACGGAGCGCGTTGATCGGTGACTCGTTCGTGGGCTGAGGCAGCGAAGGTGCTGAAGGAGCTGGGGGTGAAGGGGGTGGTGGATCCCCTGGCCGGCAGCGGGCACCTGGGCGAGGAAAAACATGGACAACCGAGACTGGGCTGGGCTTGGCCTAGATGAGAGCAGGTTGATAGCAGGGATATGGAGGGAAAGTAGCACAGTAGGATGAAGTTGGCTAAACATGTTGGACCAGAGATGCTTTTGGTCGCTTACGGCGAAACTCCAGAGATGTTCATGGGCAAAGACACGTCAACCACCTGGATCAAAGTGCAGACTGAAGGGCAGTCGATTATTTTTGCAACTATGTCGACAATCACCCTGAATCAGGTCTGCGGTATTCCAATAAGTTCAGTTTCAGTGCCACACAAAATCAGTGCCACCAAGAAACAAAACAAGAGAGACTTTAGACACAACTATAGAATCCCCCCCGGCTTTGGTACAGAAAAATGTTCTCAACAAATGTTCTTCACGCATTCACTCGTATGGCGTGTCTTCTTATGCATTATGGCTTAAACATTTTCTGAGCCTGACCCATGGCGCTATCACAGCACCAGGGTTTGATGACGCTATTTCAGCATCACCCCTGACATTTCAACCTAACGTTCAACAGTTTTGGTCCAAAGTGATTTTTCTGTTAAAAAAACTAGGCAAGACCAACAAATGCTTTACAAAACAAATGTTATTTGACAATGAGATCAGTGCCAAAAAGGACACTTTTTCAGACTTTAGACACTACTAAAATGTTTTTGGTACAGAAAAATGTTCTCAACACTTCACTCATTCACCCGTGCTTCAGCACCAGCAAGTGTACTCACAGGTCCTCTTCAAATTCGGTGTGCAATGGACAAGCATTGTATGTTTTTTTGGCTGTGTTTCCAGGTCATTGAAGGTGAAACTATTCCATGACTCTTCAGCTCTGTTGATTTGTTCCTCTGAAATGTGACAAGAAACCGACGCCACCATCTTCGACCGACCTAGACTCGGTGACTGACTCATCTCGGAAACAAAGAAAGTATGAGCGCACTCGTTTGTAACTCGCCCAGCCCTCACGGATCTCAGGTTTCTGAAGTTTGGATCTTCGAGCTGAAACTGCACGGAGGGGTTGAACGGCCCATATTAGGTTTCTATTACAGCCTATCTTATGCGCGGTGAATGTCCACAAACCATTCAGGGCATTTCAGGGACCCAAACCTCAGGCAGTTGGTCTCCCAAAACCGAGGCCCCATTGGTGGGTCTTGAAAGCCTGAGGTGGCAAGCCATGCTGTGGGAGGCACGGTGTGGAAGGTTTTTTCGCTGCGCGCGATGGCAGAAAACGGCATGCACACCGGCTGGGGGCCTTTGAATGGAGGACCGCAAAAACCCCTTGAAGATCTGGCCGGGAAGTGATGAAGATGAGAAGAACCAGTGACAACCTTCTGCCAGTGCCGTGCATTTCAAGGGACACAGGGTTGTCCAACCCCCTTTCTCCTTTTGGAAACAGGTCCACCTGCTTGACTCGAGCAGCGAGTCACCCAGTCTCCCCATCGGGGATGGGTCGTCCGGTGTTCACGCGACCAGTTCACCATGTAGCGAGTGAAAGACCGACACCAGGTAAGTCAACACGTGTGACTCTGGGAAGATCTATGTGGGGTGGTTCCCAAGCCTCGCCATCCTCAAGCAGGTGGCTGGCGGGCTGCATGTCATTGCTTTGGATTCCTATGAGGTGCCTATTTCGCACGAATGATCACCAGGGCGGTAGGAGACCAGTTTCGTGTTTGTCGCGCACCACCTCGCCTGGCCTGGACCTTTCCGAGGTTGTTTTAAGATGTTTTATGACTGGACAAAGTGTTCATCGGTATCCATGGGTGTCCCACATTCCGAATTCCCTAGAGCAGGGGCCTCAAGACAGGCAGAGAATGGTGGGGGTAACGAACACCGTGCTGTGCTTTCCACAAGGTATATAAGTCCAGGTCAGACAAATATTGACAAAGCTTAAAGGTGATGGCCCATGAACTATGCGGGCTATTCTGGCTATTGTGGGCTCATAAGCGAGTCTTTTTAAAAAGAGGACAGGGTTTCCCAACTCCTTAGGGTGGTTTACGGCGGTGTGCCGTTCACCCCCGACAGACGATCGCGGCCGCCGGGGCGGATGCGGCGCGCCCCATCCAACGAATCCGAGGGATTTTTCGGCTCCAGGGAGGTCCAGAAAGGACTCCGTCAATCTCAAAAGCCCAGGCGAAATCGGTTGCTTGGAGTGGGGTGAAGTTGGTGACGGATTCGAGGAGACGCGACCGCGTTGTAACAACGCTGGCTTTTTGGATGCGAGGGCGCGCAGATCTGGGGCGGCGAAAGAGCCGCCCCGAAGCGAAAGAAGCACCGGGGGGGTCCAAAAAGAAGGTGCAAAAGGCTTGAAGAAGTAGATGCAACATTGTGGTGCACAACATGGTCCATTTCAATCCATGTCGTCTTTATCCACCTTTTGGTTGAAAGCACGTGAAGTCATGGAAGGCGAATTAGCATTCTTAGGGATGCCCAAATTTGTCCATGCACAGTGGGGGCAGATCTTTGCAGATACTCCGAATATCTCCGAATGATGATGGATTTGGCCCCTGCCCTTTGCAAAACTAAGCAGCAAATCGTGGATGATGTTGGATTGGAGGGAGCATAACTGCTGGCAGGTGGCTGATTCCATTTTGGGTAACGTAACTCAATCCCAACCACAACCACAACGGCTCAAGCCTTCGGGCAGGGCAGGGCCGAGCACTGGATGGCACAATTAGCTCATTCAAGTCAATCCATGATCGAAGACCAGCGACCGGGGACCTTTTCAGCTAAGCCCTTTTCATGCGTCCGCCCTGCAGGAGAGCCTTGGCAGAACCCATCGATGGAGATCTCACCAGGCGGCGCAGCGCGTGGTGACGGAGGGTCCCAAAACCCAGTCAGCTTTTTTCATGGGCTCTATATGATTCATGACGCTGGTATAGCAGCACATATATGCCCATGCCGCTGCCAGTACATTTTGCGTGTTACAGTCTCAATATGCATGTGTACATGTTGGTCGGCCATATGCATGTGTGCGTTTACAATTGACCTGGCTCAAATCGCCCCTGCCCTGTTCCCTCTCGCCTATTTCTTGTTGTGGCGACGCAAGCATTTGGGGCTCCAAACCGAGCCGCGGAAATCTTGGAAGCTTGGACAGCGAGATAGACATGTCGTGTGAACGACCGCTTAAACGTCGAACATGGGGTCACGACTGAATGAGCGTGCTTCTTCTGTTCCAAGGGATCCCATGAATTGGACGACTTGGGAAGCCGCTTCCGAAATCCATCGAAATCCTCACCATGACCAGTTCCTCACCATGACCAGTTTGAGAGAGACAGAGATTCCAATCGCACCATCCTCGTCAGCTGGGCGCTCCTGTTAAGCTGGCCACCTCACAGCCCGGAGAGTGTCGGCTGGGGCCCCGGAGAGCTGCGCCGCTTGCGCCTCCGCGAGCTGCGGAGCAGCGTCCGAATCAGAAATCGAAGAGACCTTGACGTTTTTTGGATCAGGTCCCTCATGGGATGTACAGCATGCAGTTTCACGATCGAAACCAAAACTGATGTGACTAAAATTGTTCGCTGTAACATGGAAGTAGACCGTTCCCTGCTTAGGAAAATGGTCTGGTCTAGGGGCCATTTTCCACTTCCATGATGGTTTCAGGGAGAGTACAAGAAAATCACGTCTGTTTGACTCACCTCTGTGAAAATATGTGTGGCCCCAACAGGGGTTCCTTGAGGCTTAGATCTTCTTCGAGTGTGGCATGGGGAGTTTTTGATCTATTTGGGCGAGCGCGCTGCTTGGAAGCATGTGTCATTGGAGGCCACAAATTGACTGGACCGGGTGGAGAATTGACCGGACCGGGTGGAGAATCGTGATGGATGGGGGATGCCAACAGCACGAAAAGGGCCGGCGTACAAACGATTCGGAGACCTACCTATTCGGTGGATAACCGTTAAGATCTTTTTGGAGGACTGATTTCCCCACTAAACATGAAGAGATGGCTAACCTCTATAGTCAGGAGATAGAGAAAGATTGACAATAGGAGTAGCAGTGAGAATAATGCATCGAAGCTCCCAAACTTTAGATATTGGAAGTTGTGACCACATAGATATGTTTATGTATGGGAGAACCTGCTATCCCTGTGATTGAGCATCGCCTATCCAAATCGTGGACTAAGTTTTGCATTAGGTATCCAACTTCTAGGGTAGCTCGCAGGGGGGCCAACCGTTTGATATATATGATTCCTGTGCGACCAAGCCTTCCTTTGACCCGAGGCGCTCGATGACGATGATGGCCGCTGGGCGTCGCAACCACCACATAGAACCTGAAAACCGAGTTGTAGAGGCAAATCGTCTTCCAAAGGCCCATTTTCAGGTTCCATGTGAATCTTTCGGGGATGTAGTGCAGATGGACCACGTGTCGTCACTTTGTCGGGTTGTCCGAGGTGTTCACTCGGGGTCTCGTTGGAGCCGAGGAAAGAGGGCAAGTGATTTGGGGAAGGAGGTGGCACACCTCTGAAAAAGGCTGTTGAATCCTTTTGGAGTGGGCGGCGGCCCTGAGAGAATCACTAGGGTTCATCGGGGTTCGGAACATCCATGAACATCCTGATGTTGATGGATGTAGATGGATGGTAGATGGCAGAAACCCCAATGAATGTAGATGGCAGAAACATGGAGATTGTGGGTTGGCCGAATCGACAGAACCATCGCATCCCGAAAATCGACCGTACTGACGTCCTTCCTGTGGAATACCTGCGATGTCATTGGGGTCCAAGTTTTTTGTTCATCTCAACGCATAGTAAGCCATTTTGCCATGTGAATACCACACCTCGTTCATCCTTGTTCACCGGGATACGTGCTGCAAAGGGCAAAACGAGCCATGCCTCAGTTCAAAAGACCAAAAAGCCACCAAGCAACAGAACCCGCAAGTCATGTAGCATCAAGGGTGCTGCATTCCTTGTGGCAAGAAGGGCGGCACTGCTATTCTTCTTTGTTGATGATGACCTAAAAACAAACGTTCTCTTTCATGATGAGTTTGCTCGTGCACTGGTAAGAGAACGAAAACATACGAAAACCATCAAAGGTGGGGGGTTCTTCGACTGCCGCTTCGGGAGGGGATCTTGGAAGGCCGCCGTGAGGCAATTGGGAGATCCTATGTTCAACAAAAATTTCCCAAGTTGATGTGAATTGCACTGGCAATTTGTTCAACCTCTCTCTCTCTCAAGGCCCTTGGCCCGGCCAAAGCCTTCTGGACGCCATCCAAGACGATTGGGACCTGCTTCAGCGCTACCGAATCCCCTCCTGGCTGCTTGGACCTTCTGGATGGGGCCGGGTGTTTTCAGTCTTCGGGTCGCACTGGTAAGTGGGCCCACTCCAGTGGGCAGCGGGGCTCAGGTAGGGCGAAAAAAGGATGATAAAGGCAGGGTGGCCTGAACGCGCCAACCGGAGAACCACTTGCCGAGGCCTGGTTGCAAGGACGACCTCACAATTTACCGACGAAGAAAGACTGAATAATGGCCAGGCGGGTGCCCAGACGACTCACTCAATCCATTTGGTTGCTCTAATCCCGAAGTTGGAACGCAATGGCGCCGGAGAGGATAGCGGTTCTCGTTCTCTACTCATTAAAACCCGACCCCTTCGGAACTCCTGGAGCATGCGACTTGCCGAAGCCTTCCCTCTGTCGACCAAGCTTCTCAATGCCTCCATTCGTTAATGTAAGACAAAACGGCGCCAAAGCCTTCAGATGTGCATAACGACCACAAATATTTGCAAATTAAGTCACATTGACACTGATCGGTGTGTCCAGCAAAATAGCTTGGATGTTTATATTGGGTCAATGAAGAATTAAGCCGACTAGGCCCAAACATTGGTGTGGTTTTGCTTAGTTCCTTACAATTCGACAATTGCGTTGCTTGCTTTGTTTCGCCCTTTCCCTTTGACAAAATTAATCAAAATTATGTTATTTCACCGCCTTGAATGCCCATATATAAATTGTTATTTTTCACATCCTTAATATATCGAAATTATAAGGAATTATATATTTAATCATGAAATATAAATATATAGATATGGTTTTTTTATTACACTAATAATATTCTATTATTTTTATTTATAGATTTAGATATCTGATATTATAATGGAATAAAATAGTTTTAAAAAAAAATATATATATATATAATTATATACAAATATATAATATAGGGAACTAATGTAAAAACGTAAGAATTGATAAGGCAATTTAGTTTAATTATTAATTTCGGATTTAACGAAAATTTAGATATGGAAATAAAAATAGTATATTAATATGATATTTATATATAATTTTGGATTATTGGGTCGTTAGCAAAATATTAAGAAGGATTATGGTTTGTTTCTAAATATTTTCGGGTAAATTTGATTTTTTAATTGTGGTAGGAAAAATCGGTTGATTTTGATTGATTTTTTTTAAGGATATATTTGGGAAAAAAAAATCTATAATTTTATGTTTAATATTATTATAATTATATGAATATTTAATAAAACCAATTTTATGTATATTTATATTAATGATAGTCGTGGTTTAGTGGCTATTATGTATATCGTGGTCCGGGAGATTTTGTATATTATGATTATTATGAATGGTTTTAAATATAATTTGTGAATGGAAGTGTAGCGACACGTATAGTGCAACTTGTACATATATATATATACCATATGTACTTTGGCTTAAGGATTAAACTAGAAAAGGTGCGGTTTCCGTTCCGACGCTACGCCGCTTATGGATCGTTAGTGATAGCCTCAAACTTCGTTGATTAAGATCCACTCGTAGGTTATTAGTCGTACGAGCTCCACGAGACCAAGAACAAAACTAGTCATTATAGAAACCTGTAATGTCAAGCTTAGGAGGAAATGGAAGCGAACCCTATTCATTCGCTGCTCCTGGTGGCCCGAACACCATTTCGTCATTAGACTCTACAATGGGTACTGATTCATTAGCAAATGTTGACGTTATTATTATGCCTATTGGATCACAAATCTCGGAAAGATTCGTGCCACCAGCTCGGAATCTGACCGATCTTGAACCCGTAGGACCAAGAAGATCGATGAGAGCTATAGTAAGATCTACATCGCCTATAACGTCTACCGCGAGGTCCCTAAGAAGGAGTATAGAGAAGAGACGTAACGATGATAGAGGAACAAAAGAGCAAAGAAGAGAGATTCAGCTGGGTGAAGAATTGAGATCGGCGAGAAACGCATACAATTTTCTTCATGAAGAATATGATTGCATCTAAGCCGGATACTTACGACTACATTACGAGGCTGAAGTGGAGTTTAGGCAAATGTCTGATTACAACAGGAAGATGCAAGAACATCTACAGGAAATGACACAGGAGGATGAAGGGGCGACAATAAGAATTGAAGAGCTCGAACATAAGCTACGCTTGGCGGAATCGACAGCTGAACATATCTACATGAGATATTAAGAACTTGTACAAGGAACTCATTAAGAACATTTAGAGCTTGAATCTGTGAAAGCAACGAAGGACAGAATGTCCCAAGAGCTTCAAGCAGCAATTGGATACATCCAAGAACAGAATGAATCTTCATTGGCGATCAATAGAAGATCAAAAGCCATTCAGGATGAGAACACAGCCTTCGTCGGAATAGCTGACTAGATATAAGCTAGAATGATTGCGCTACAGGATGAGAATGTCAACATGCACGAGGTGATCCAACACCAGAGAGAAGAACAATGGAACAGTGAGGTCAGGGAAAGACGTCTTCAACACAGTGTTCACTCATCTCAAGATCAGAGCAATCAGGAAGCTATGGTTATTGATCATCTAAGAGGTCGACTAGCTATGGCACGTGGAGCTGAACTCAACGCGAGATCGGAGATAGGAGAGATGGAAGTGGGCATGAAGATGGAGATGTTTGTATGCCAGACTGAAGTCTTTGCTAGAGAAATGGCAGAAAAGAAGGCGAGCCACCATGAATACGAAGCAAACATCGCAAAGGAGGTTATCGCAAAAGGAGAAATATTCAACAACGAAGTCCTAGAAAGTTCCATCCGTGAACGACAACAATTGAAAGACGTCAACCTCGCTCTATCCGAAGCCAACGCACAGCTGAAAAGAGAGAATATGATGAGAGCTCCTATGTTCGGCGATGATGGTGCTGAAATTCAACAGAAGATCAGAGAACTGGAGAATGCACTATTGGAAAGCCAGAAGGAGACAAAGAATGTCATTATGGAAAATGCGAAATTAAAAGCAGAAGCACGAATGGCACCCATAGTCTCTCGGTACAGCAAGCGTCCTAGTTCCAGAGACCGCGGGTTACCAACCCACGCGTCCGAGGAAGATGAGATTCGGAACGCAAAAGAGGAGGCGAAATACTACAAGGACGGGTACAATGAAATGACAGAGAGCCGAGACGAGATGTATGAATGGTATGCAGAAACCCACAATGAGTACGCCGAGGAAAGAGAGAAATCAATTGAGCTATCCGAGGCGAACAAATCATTGAGGGACAAGATTTCAGAAACAGAAGCATCCTCTTCATCCCATCTTGCACCGGCAACCTCTACAATCATGAAAGTATCGAGGAAGGAAGAATCAAAGATAAACGTTCCGTCATGGCCCAGGATCAATGATCTTGGACTATGGAAGGCAAATCTCATTCAATCGATCATCATTGCGGCCAATGATTCAGATCAAGAGCCCTGGATCGATTGGATCAAAGAAGCCATGGACGATCCTGATCCGGACAAGTTTGTCGACTCAGGAGATCAAAGATTCCATTCAATCGATGCCAAACTCGGCCTAGCTCTTACCAAGGTCGTCATGGATGCGAAAGATGATGGTTCAGGTGTAGCTATGAAGTTGAGGACGAGGATCAATGCAAAAGGGAGAACATCAAGTCTCATAAAGGGAAGAGAGGTCCTAGCCCTGATCCTTATGAATTTCAAGACAACGTCAAATGTGGAAGTCCTATATACTTCAATGCACCTCTACCAACTAGAATATCAAGGAGATAAGAACTTATCGTTGTTCTTTCACACTTGGGATGAGATTCTGGCAGGAATGAAGCCCGTTGACGTCCCGAGTGACGAAACTCTTCGGGATCTCCTATGGAGAAAGATCAGGAACTCAAACCTCATGGCATACGACATCAGCGCCTACAATAGCATGAACGACGATGATGCCAAGAAGACATACAAACATCTACGTGATATGATCAGAAGGCACATCGAACGGCAAACTGAAGACAGGATGATCCTGGAAAAGGAGAAGGCAGTGAAGAATGTGGCCAATATCTTTCAGAATCTCAAACCAGGCGGACCTGCTCCAAAATTGAAAGCTGCACCAGCTGATCCGAAGAAGAAACCAAAAGGGCAACAAGAACAAGTTGTCTCAGAAGACGTTGCTGCAGTGAAGCCGAAACCCAATCCCAAGAAGCATCCTGAAGACAAGAACAAAAGGGGAAAGGGGAGAGGTAAAGGTGATGGAAAGGATCGCAGCCGAAGTCCGAGTGCAGACAAGAAGAAGATACCATGCAAATTCTTCGTGAAAGGTAACTGCACTATGGGGAAAGACTGCCCATTCAGTCACAAGAAACCCAGATCACCATCCAGAGGACCTTCTGTCGGAAAGAATGACAAGCCAGTATGTTGGATGTGGATTCGAGGAACTTGTGACAAAGGGAAGGATTGCAAATTCTACCATGACCCAAAAGCCTCTCCTAAGAAAGGGATATCTGCACCAGCTGACTCAGGAGACGATAGGTCAAAGCCCAAGGCAAAACCCAAACCGAAGCCTAAGGCGAAGCCTGGAGCCCCAGCCATTGGCGGTGAACTCTTCATGGACGAATCCGAAGATGAAGGGATTGCTGCATCCGCCAAAGCAAGAGAAGGAGGTGCAAAAGTATCCTTTGATGAAGAGACTTGTGAGATCATGTTGAACGAAGCGATCTACTCAGTCAGGGACAAATGGAAGGTAGTAGAAACGAAACCTCTACGTCCGGACATCAAGCGATACGATGAGAAAGAGCTCACCTGCTACACGAGGAAAGAACAAATCAGATTTGAAGAAAAGGTCGCAGAGGCGAGAGGCATATTGATGGTCCCCTACACTGAGATCAAGAGGGTCCGAATACCAGTTGGACCAAAGGGTGATCTATCGGTCACTATGTCTTTTGACGAAGATGACGGCCTAGTTTTCCATCATAAGATCATTCCTCATGTATGCGAGGGAAAGAAAGATCATGCAGACACAAAGACATTGTCTATTCCAGCCAAAGGGTCAAGAACGAAGTTCATCATGGACACAGGATGTGGATATGATTTGATATCGAAAGGCAGAGCCAAGAAATTAGGTCTGGAAGTGAGAGAAAGCGACCAATCAATGTCATTCTATACTGCAAATGGAGTGACATCCACAAAGGGAGTCGCCGACATTCATTTCGACGAATTTGACTCTACCTACTCCCCATTCGTCCTAGATGAGTCTCCTTCAGTACTGTCTGTTGGAAAG